CTGTAAGGATACCCACATATTATTACCCACAGCGTGGAAATATATGGTTGAAAAGAGTTTATTCGATAACACTGCATGATGTACACACAACCAACAACTGATATTATGAATGTAATTTTTTGTTTTCTTTTTATCTTATAATATTTTATTATTTTGTTATTTTCATGGCTTCCAACATGTTCCATGGCTTCCAACATGTTCCATGGCTTTAAAAAAACCTAAAAATGTTATGTTCCATCTTTAGGTTTTTCTAAAAAGCCACGGAACATACCTCCCCATACAAAAGTTGCATTCGTTTGCATATGCCGGTGTACCAAATCTTTGCAGCTTCTATAAATGTTGCGGTTTACAGACCGATACTGCTTTTATGCATTGATTGAAATAGTCTTTTTATTTTTATAGTATACTAGCTGTACCCGCGTTGCTGTAGCTCAAAATGTATGTATTATAAATGTATAACACTCTCCGCGGGAGGGAATTTCGAAAAATCCCTTCTTTATACTTATACTATTTGCGTTCTAAACAAAAATTATTTAAATACATAAAATTGAATAAATTGAGAATACAAATAAATGTATACAACATTGACAAAAGTATAGGCCTATAGAATAAAATTAATAAATAAATAAAAATAAAGTAAATAAATGCGTAAATGAAATATTTGTTTTAGTCTTTGGTATCATATATTTGTATTCTCAATTTATTCAATTTTATGTACTGTATATAAATAATATTTAAACCTTAACGAATTCAATTCAAAATATGTTCGATTCTGAAGATGGCTACCGAAAGCGTTAGATCCAGAAAGGTTGGAAAACACTAGTCTATAATATAAACATAATCTAAATAAATATTATTAAAACACACTGTTGTAACAAAGCTACTTTTGTTTACTGAACTGCTAGTCTTTGCGTCCTCTGTCGGCCAAAATATTCCCCTTTGAAATGTATGAATATAAAAAGTCATTACTCGACAGACCATTATGTAAAAAGACCATGGTAATAGTAAAAGATAATACTATAATGCAGCTCAGTACTAACAATCGTTCCTGCCAAGCTGCCAATTTGCGTACACTACGCGGTATACAAAATGACATCGCTGTTATCAAACTGTACCACAATTGAACAGCGAGCTGTTATTCGATTTTCGGTACAGAAGGTATTACACTTATAAATTAGTGAGATCCAACATATGTCGTATGCATAATATGTCATATACAAATGTATGTCGCTGCATAAAGCTTGCAAATGGGTTCAAAAGTTCAAGGAAAGCCGAACAAACAGATGATGGACCGCGCATTCTTTTGAACCCAAGTTTTTTATAGCCACAAGCACGACTATTCATATTGTGCATACATTCTTCGATGGATCTCACTAGGATTAATGACTTTGGCTGTCAAAAATCGAATAACAGTTCGCTATTCAATTTCGGTACGGTTTGATATGGGAGGTGCCATTTTGTAAACCTCGTAGTGAATGCAAATGCCACTAGCAGAGACGACTATAGTCCCTCTTCAATTGGTATTAATATAAAAAGGTTATAATACTTAAAATTATACAAGATGTAGGAACCGCTATAAAGGTATGATCATTGAACATTAATTAAATGGGTGTAGAGAAGACACGCTTAAGACGGATTCATAATGTTACAACTGTTATGTAACCTTTACGTCAAGCTACCTTGTAAATGCACCACCGAACACTGGTAATTAATGGTGGGTTCACGTCTAACCAACGGGCTGCTCACGTAGCGTTTTCCGGGTTTTCTTCACATTTGTAACACCTAAATAGAGGCCAGTTTTTCATAGAAAGTCCTCCCAGAGGCATCTTCCCTCGGCAAATCGCGTACGTGTTGCGTTGCAATAACTAAATAAATCTACAATAATAATTGATTTAAAATGGATTAAAATTAAAATAAAAAATGATGTAAGACGTTTTGTGAAATATTATCAAAACAATATAATAAATCTAATTAGTTTTTAGCCAAAATATTTGCTTTATTTACCCGAATGAGTCAGCCATTTCTATCAATCTACAAGGAAATGACTACTCATGCTCCTAGAGAAGGCAAAAACAGCGATTCGATAGTAAACATAACAAACAAGTAGCTATTACGGCATATTATACTTTTTATATATTTCTGAAAATACAGTGTTTAATCTATAAAACCTTATCGAGTTTCGAGGAATTTCTATACACCGTTAACTAAAGAATGATTTGTTTTTAAATGAACAAACAGTGACTAAGTTAGTCTAAAAATACATATTATCGGAAACTACTTACGCAAATTAAAATCAAAGCTATACCATTAACATTATATTTCACGTTTCACTTAAATATATGATATCCTAAGTGTTTGTTATTTGAAATAGTACTGGCTACAACTCGAAGTAACTTGCAAAATGGATTGATGAGATACGGCAAAGCAACGAAAGAGACCTGTCAAGGGAGTGTATCTCAATAAGACTTTGTACTCATCAGTGGCTTAGTGGATAAAACTATTGAACACCGGTAGTTGGCGTGGGTTCGTGCCTCTCCGACTGGTTGGCCAAATGGAAGTTTTCCGGTTTTATTCAGGTTAATTAATAACATCTAAATAGGGGCCAGTTTCCCATAAAGGATCTTCCCACAGGCATCACCCCTCGGCAGGAAAAAACAGTTTTGTATGCATATACATAAAATAATGTATAAAAATGTTATTGTTAACGTGTCAAGTGGCCCAATTAACTTCAAGATGAGGGTTAATTAACTGGATACACATGAAATGCTACGTTAAATGACTCCACAAGCAGAAAAAGTAAATGCATAACTTTCAGCAAAAGGACCATGTTCACTCTGATAGAATGGACAAGGCAGCTTTAAAACAATGTCAAGCTTGCTTACATTTGTCTCTTTATCATTTGAAAATTGAATTTTTTTTGTTCCTCTTCAATCATTTGACATTGAAATTCTCGTCCAAATGTGCAGTCACTATTTTATAATAACAAAATGTGTGTTGTTCTTAGTTTTTCCAGAAACTTTTGTTAGAATAAAGTCATCAAATTAAGTTCGTTATCCAAGAGGCTTGTTGCATCATCCTCATGGTGATTGTCATCATCATCAATTAGATTCAAAGAGGAGACATCTTTATAGAGGATATCTGTTTCATTCTGGCTCTTTATTTGACTCGAATTCTAGAACAAGCCCAAATATTGAACGTTCTTATCCTTCATTTTCACCTGCACATTAGACTTACAAATTAGTTTTCTTTGCAGCACGAGCTTGAGCATCTTCGAGTTTTCTCTTTACCAGAGAGTCAGTGAAAACTCTGAACGGGAATTTTTGGGGGGTTGGTCCGACCGGATATGTCGCCCCGCCCGTTTCAGCCGCCGCATTGTGGGCCTGGCCGAATCCATAAAGGGCTTTCTAAAAAGAGGTCCTCTTAGTGCCCACAGAGCAGAGTTAGAAAAAAGAGTCTTTTTCTGATAATGGCATTTCCACCTTGTAATTTTTTGCAGCACTTCTACTTCTTTATCAATGAAGTTATTGCATTTTTCGTACTATTAGTAACATATAAGAAGTGTAATGGCTCTTCTCAGTGCTATATTTCGTGGCACCCCTGAAATATCGTTGATATTTTAGTGTGGGTCGTGGCACTCCGGTTGAAGACCACTGACTTAATACGCGAAATTTGTATAAAGACAAAAAACTTGAAATAACATAAAAGTGTACAATATTAATTTAATATTATTATTGGGCGGTTCCAATTAAATCATTTCTTCGGGATTTCAAAACAAATATACGCTTCTTATTAATTACCAAACTTTTAAAATTTTGACCGAAATTAACTTACGAGATGACTGATTTGTAAATCTTAATTTACAAATTTTTTTCACATTAATGTTTCTTTTTATTTTTGAATTTTTCCTCTTCTAAATTGGACCTTCAGTGTGTACTAGGAGGACCTTTTTCCATGCAATCATGGGTTCGACCAGAACTACTAGCTGTTGAGGAATAAATAGCTCATGAAAAATTTTAGAGTCGTTTGCCTGAGTTCGATTTCGGGTCCCCCAAAGCTGTATGCATTATTTTATAATGGACTTATAATGGCGTGCTAAAGTGTTAGCTTACAACTGTGTATACGGGCTTGAACAGATACAAACCAAAGAATTTATCCCGAAGAATTCAGAGTGGGATACCGATATTCAGTTTTTGTTGTAAAACAATGCTTCACTCTGCACTGTCTCATACTGATCGACCCTATTGTTGCAAAGGCCGGATGGCCGAGCAGTCAATGTGGCAGCCTACCGCTCCGGAGGACCCGGAATAGAATCCGGATGGGTCAAAAAATCCCCAGGAATTTTTCGGAGGGTAATCCGACCGGATATGTCCACCCTCGTTTCTCACCATTCGGCCGCCCCATTGTGGGCCTGGCCGAACCCATAATAAGCTTACTAGAAAGAGACACTCTTATGCCCACAGGGTGGAAAGAGTTAGAAAAAACCCCTATTGTTGCTTTGGCCTGCTCGTAAGGGCATAATTCTAGCTGATATATATAGCCTATATAATGTATTAATTAATATTTCGTGGATTAAAATTTCAACCGATAGACACCAATTCATAATGAGACAATTCAAATTTAAAGGAATTATATATAAAATTTTCTCTCTTTTATGTAGCTTAATAACGTAAATTAAATTTAGTTAATGTTATCGAACTTATTAATATATTAGAAAATATTCTTTGATATTAAAATTTTATATTTGTGTAGTTAAAAATAAAAAAATGGAGGAAAATTAATAAACAATTCACTTATACGATTGCGTTTTTATTAATATCGCATTATTCCAATATTAATAACAATATTTATATTATAAAATAATTTAAAAGTATTAAAATATAAAATTCAAATTATATAATTATAATAACATTTTCGTAATATTAATAAAAAAAAAGCGAAAGGAAAATAATTAAAAAAAAAAAAAAAAACCAGAAAAGCACCACTTTGCGGTGATTCAAGAAATTATCCAGTCCTTTCTCAATAGTGTGGCATAGTATGGAGAGGAGGGAGTTATCCTTATTTACGAGCATTTATCTATAATTAATATTAACTTTATTGACAAATTGAGAAATGAAATAAAGAATATATTTTATCTAGAATTGTGAAAGATAACAGATATGGCTTCAATGACTTTAGAAACAATTCGGTGTGGGCCACATTGTCATGCATCTGAAATTAATGGGGAAGGATTAAAATTAGAATTTCACGAAATGTTTCGATTAACCGGAGATCTAAATAAGTAAGGCATCAATTATTATATCTTAATTAATATTAGCATTTGTTTATATCCATATATTAATAAACATTTTAATAATATTTTAAAATAAGGAATATATTATAAATAGTTTGATGATATTTTCATTTTCCACAGCTTTATTCAGTTTAAAACTTTTTTTTCAACATGTAAACATGCCTGTATATCAAGTGTACTCGGCGGAGAGAGAGACTACAAACTCGCCGCACCGCTAATTATAAATCTGTATATGAATCTAACATAGGCCATCTCCGGGTTTTGAAATCAATTATAAGTCTGTAGGATTTATAATTGGTTTAATAAACTGTAGACGGCCTAAGTTAGTAGGTTGAAACGTGTTTGGTAAACAGATTTTTCTCGGCAGACCTTTAAAAATCTGGGACGACCTACGTTAATAGGTTGGGAAGGTTTGTTTGGTAAACAGATTTTTCTCGCCGAGCATTTGGTGTTGTATTAACGTGGTGATCTTTGAGCAAGTCTGGTTTTTGATGGAATTCGCTCAAAAGCTGCTATATCTGTATTGCACTAGTGCAATACAGATATATCTGAAGCGAATTTGTTGTTACGTTCCAAGCTCAAAAAGAAGAAAATATGGGAAATTAATTATCTCAAAATTAGAATATACCGTCGTGGATTGTTCTTGTTCTGTGGTCGTCATACAAACATTTCTGTTTGTAAATATTATGGATATAATTTTTGAGAGAATAAAGTGCATGCTTTAAATGTTGAAAGTTTTATTATTATAAATACTCAAGTGAAAGTTGAAGAGGAAGTTGTTAAAATTGATGATAAAATTTTATCATTAATTTATTGATGCTTTTTATTGATTGATATTTTGCTTTCTATTTGGTTTTATAATAAAGAAAAAAAGAGAGATATTATCTCAAAAATATTATCATGTCGCCATCAAAAAGCTCAGAACTTACATCAAGCTTGAATTGATGATGATGTGATGATACATTTTGGATAATGTTTTAGTTTTAATTTGTGAACTTCATGAGGAAGCTTTATTATTTTTAAAACTCAGTAAAGAATTTTATTTCAAACTGATGATGAAATTTATTATGTATTTTACATGTTAATATATTATAAATTTTCATTTTTATTTTAACCATTTGTGCATTATTCAAATTACTTCATACTTGATTATAAATTACGTAAAATAATCAAATGTCTGTTCGTATTTTTGCTGACTATGTGTAAATCTTAATATATCATAGTTAATTATTTTATAGTGCAGAAAAGGAAAATTGGATTTAATATTATTTAATATCTTGTTTCTCTGTTTTATAATTTAAAATATACTGTATCATCTGTTCTTAACTATATATTTAGAAATTTGTTTCCATTTTAATGTGTGATGCATCTTGATTTTCTATATATAAACTGACATGTATTCATATTCTAGATTATTTTCTCTACCTTCACTGCCAGACTGCATTAAGAGAGATGATTTAGATATTTCAGATCAGTGAAACAAATCACATTGAATAAAATAATAATGATTTATATAGTTTTAATAAACTGATACATCTAGTAATATATAACAATAATTTTAATATTATCACACACTCAGTAAGTAAATATTTCATATCAGTGTGTAGTTAATGTGATAAAGAAAATGATTAAAAAATTCATAATTTATATGTACAGTACATCTTAGATATATATTTAAATGATGGATTCAATGAATAAACTTTAAATATTAAAAAGAAAAAAGCTGATTAAATAAATGAAAACACTCGGATAATATGAATACTCATTATTCTCTATAATTAGTATGGTGATATTCTACAACCTAGTTTATCTCCAAGACATAATTTTTCATTTATCTCCAAAGATTCAAATTCTTCTCCATCCCCAAAGATTAGAAACTAAATTGGAAATTAGATACGTTAATTTACGGTAAAAGTGCGAGAAATACAAATTTAAAAATATTAAATGTTTTAGCATCCTTGCATATTTATATGGCATATTTCATAATATTATTATTACTGTCTATATGTTGCTGGTTTTGAAAATATTCAAAAATTATCTGCAATATTTTATTTAATTGTCTTATTAAATATATACAGTTGTCCCTCTATAGTCCGACATTTTTTAATCCGACATGCTCAGTAGTCCGACACACCTCCCGTCAAGGTACCCGTTCCCATTACGTGTCTGCTTGCACAGAAGCATGTCGCGATGTGAATCTCCCCATCCAATTCTTACTTGATGACACACATTTCGTGTGTTTTATGTGAGCAGTTCTGTTCGAACAGTTGGAGTAGAGAATATTGTAAGTTACTGCTAGCAAAACAATGCGAAATATGTAATTATTTTCGGTAATCCGGACACTTTGGTAATCTGACACACCTTTGGTCCCATACCTGTCGGATTATCAAGGGACAACTGTATATATATATAAATTTTCTATTTTCGTAAATTGTTTCTTTTATATGTGTTTTGGAATTAAAACATAAATACACAAAAATGTAAAGCATATTCTTTATAATATTCTTACTTGCATTTTCCACAGTTCACTACAAAATAACATGTCTGATTTCCAATTTTGTTTCTGATCTTTGGAGATAATGAAGAAGAATTTTAATTTTTAGAGACAATTGAAAAGTTTTGTTTTGGAGATAAATTATGATGCAAAATAATAATATACTAATTATACAGAATAGTGAGTATTCATATGGCTAAAAGTATTATCAGTTTTGAATGGAGAAACTAGACATATTTCATTTATTTAATCAGCTTTTTTCCTCTTAATATTGAGCTAATATTTAAAGTTTATTATTCATTGTGAGAAAGTTATTCTGTCTTGCTCTATATTGCTGTAAACATTTGCAGGTTACTTTTTACTGATACCACTACTAGATATTTAATAGATTATACAAAACCTAAGAAATGATTTTTTTTGTGCGTGTCATCTTTCATGATGAACAATGCACTCTAGAAATCAATATTAATTTTTGTTGTTAATTCCTGTATAATCTGCCATTTATTAACTTTGTAGGAGCTTCAATAAGCTACGATGTATACATTTATGTGTAAATGTTTTGAATATAGTTTATTTTTCAAGCCGCATGTAAACAATAATACATTTAACAGATTCAATAAAGATAAGATAGTTTGAGGACAGTTCAGTATGAGATTTATTCAGGAAGTTGTATTATAAAAAGAAAAGAATGAAAAAAGAAGTCTTATTTATGGTTGGAATTTTTCATTATTTTTTGACTTTGAGGTAAATAATAAACAGCATACTTGGTGGTTATTAAGAAATCATCTGAAAGTGGAAGTACAATTCTGATATTTTCTTTTGTTATTTCTGATTGTTTATTATTAATTTTCCATTTATGAATGAATATGGAAAGTAAAGATTGAAAGATAAGATTTTATTTCAGTCATAAATGATCAGTACATAACAAGAGTGCAGGATTGTAGAAAAGGGGGAAAAAAAAGCCAAAAATTGTAAGTCAAAGAGAAAGAAATCCTTTACAAGATATGGTTTCTGTAGATCTGCAAAGGTAGATAAAAATTTAAATGCAAAAAAAATAATTAGAACAATATCTTTAAAGGGGTTTAAAATTTAGTGTTTTATTTTTTACAAGATGTGACTAAAAATGTTTACATACTGCAAAGTATACATCGTGAGGCTATTTGTCAAATTAAATTTGACACAAATGGAACATTAAATGAAAACAACATTGTTGTCATTGTTGTAGACTGTGTTTGTAGAAACAAAATAGCAAAAGAAACAATGAGTCTAAATATGATCCTTTGTAAGATATATCTATTTTGGGTATGTCTGATCTAATTGCAAAAAACTGAAAAGAAAACTTGAAGCAGAATATCTTGCCGAAAGTTACTCCTGCATCTATAACAGTTTCTTTTAACATTTTTATTATTATAAGAATATTTTACAAGACTAGTAGTGATACTGATTAATTTTGACAAAGATAAAATTTTATTGATTGAAATGTGGAGTTGGAAGATGTTACTGGAAGAAGATAAGAAAAAAGTAGAAACATGTAGATGTATTATAAAATGTAAATAAATGAAATAAAGACTGTTTGCATATTCTTGATGCCTTTCATCCAAGAGAAAATTTTAAGAATAAGGGAATTATTCGAAAATATCTTATAAAGTATTTAAGAATTTTAAAAATTCTATTCAGTTCTTTAAAATATAAAACTAAGTATCCTAAGTATGAATTACATAATCCAAAATATGAATGTTAGAAAGAAACGGAACTAGATATTTTAAATTAAATATGCTTCAATTCATCCATATCTTTAGCATAAGCATAATAAATCTAATGACAGGAGTTTTACAGCAAATGTAGAATGGTAATTTGATACTATTGACAGGACACTCCTGTCAAATTAACCAAAGGGTTAAGAGTATTGTAGAGAATATTTTGGTAGTTCTATGATTAATTACATTAATGTTATCAGATTATGTGCCTCCTGAAGATGGTTAGCTGAAGTTTTGAAAATACTTACTTTTGCGAATGAATTAATAAATTCTGTAAGGAAGAGGCAGATGTTTTTATGTCTTCATACTGTTGAATTTCAAAATACATGCATTCATTTTGTTATCTAACAATACTACGACTACAATAGTATTTATGTATCTTACAAATTCTTCCACATGTTTTGAAGAATATTTGCACTTTATTTGAGTTTAAACCACAAATAGCCATCTGTGGTGAAAGGTGAAAACCTGCCTGACCATCAGCAAATCTTATATCACTATTTTCTAATATTTCATAAGATCAGATTTGACTTCATATTTTGATTCACATTACTCAATGGTTTGAAGATGAAGTCAACAGTTAGAACTTGCACAGTTGGTTAAAAATATTCAGAACAAATAAGTATGCAACAGCAGACAATGTTGAAATATTAGATTTTTAATTTCTAGAAATCTGTCATTAAAAACATATCTGAAACCTGATAAATTTGTATTATGCCAAACAACTACCGGATTTT